TGAAATTTGAGCCTCAGAGTGGGGGGTCTATTTTTTTCTATCTCTAAAAATAAAGGGTGTTTCCATAAAAAAGTGTCCAATTTGGCCCACCCTGTACAGTGAGTTGTATAATCGAATGTGATACCACAAGAGGTTTCAGGATTACCGGATAATACTTTTACCTGTCACGAAACGCTTTACGCAGCAACACCACGACTCCGAAGGAGGAGTGGTGTTGATGGTAACGCGTTGAATGTCAGGTAAGAGTATTAGGTAATCCTGAAACATCGAGTGGTATTCAAAAGGTTATACAACGAACTAAACTTTAGTACTTCATCAATTTTTATTGTTATTAATAGCAAATGAACAATATTGCCACCAAGCGCGATAATCCCAAAAGGCTTATCACTTGTTAAGCCTCTCGTGTCATATGGGAATAATGTACAGTGAGTTGTATAACCGCTGTAATTTTTCGATTTGTCACTTCTCTTATGGGAAAATTTATACATGAGTGAAATATTCTTAAAAAAAAACAGACTTTATGCAATTTCCAATTGTAAACAGATACAGTGTAAAACATAAGTTGGCGATTTTTTTTTGCGAAAAATTGGGTTCACCCCGCATTCTGGTGGAGGAAGGGTTAGATAGTACTTCGGGACGTTTTGAGATTTTTTGAATATCGCAGCCCAATACGATTTTATCATGAGTTATGCGATTTTATGTGAAATATAGCTTTTAGCTTCATTATTTCTTTTCGAAATAAACACTTAAAATTATGGCGCATATGGAAATACTTAGAACATACAGGGTCATACAAAAATATACAATGTGTCTATTTTTCTAACCACAGGGATCGGGATCTGGTTATTATAAAAGATACGAGGTCGGTTAAATTAGAGCAAAGTCAAAAAAAATTATTGCCAATGAAATGACGGTTCAACACTGGCACCGCTGGTGGCAGTGATGTTTGTTTGTGGATGAATGCAGATTCACGTTGTATCAGTGTATAATACTATGCTAGTATTATAAAAAAAAATTATAATTAGTAACTTGTATTTTGTATTAATAGAAAATAAAAGACCAAAATACTTTCGATTTTCTGTATTCAATATATTAAAAATAATCGGAGAAGTACAGGCTTCCAACAAGTTACACTTCTAAAATGCGAATGAAATAAAATAAAAATATAATGATTAATCAGAATAAAAAGACTGAACCGCTAATTTTAATGAAAGTATGAATGCAGAACGATACCGAGATTTGTATGTAAGAGATATTCTTGTTCCCTTTGCAAACAACTTTGATAATGATTTTGTCTTTGTGGATTATAATAATGCTCGTCCAAATCGAACTATCGAACAAATATCGGGGTGTGCCTACCAAGTATTGTCCGTCGTTTTTTATCTGACACTTTCCGTATGAGGCGCGAGGGGGTGAAGCTAATGGCAAAAACAGGTGGGACGTCAGGTGACCATTGGCGTTCTTATGTAAGGAGCGACCAGCTCATACTTTTTTTATCAGATTAAAACCGACGGACTTTACTGATTACTGATCTTTTTGCCAAGTCCATGTTAATCTCATGATTGTTTTTTGTTTTTGTTAAATTTCATTTAATATGTGTTTTTTTTTTTTTTCATTTTAACACGTCGAAGGACAGTGAACATTTAATTAAAGTGGGGAGGGACTGGGAATGTAAATAAATTTCAAATGTGTGACACTACGGCACTGATATTCGAAAATTCGAACGTATTGTGACAGTGGTGACTGGATTCACATTAAATTGTATGGTAGATACAAATGCTGAACGGCGCCGTCGCGTCATTTTCAACCATCAAGACGCATATCAGCGTTGTGTCACATCACAACTTCAGGAAATGACGCTGATCTGCGTCTCTGTCCTTCAACGTGTTAATTATCCCTACTTATAATAATTGTTTTTTTTTTCATTTATTATACAGAGTGAGTTTTAAGCATGGAACGCCTCAATTATCTCGAGAACGGCTTGCAGGATTTTTATGAATTTTGGTTTGAAAGATTACTGTGATATGGCAGATAATATGGTAGTACTTACATGGTTATCGGATCTTTCGTTTTTCGGGAAATATCAGAAATTTTGTTTTTTCAAATGGATCACCCTGTATATTATGACATTTATGTATTTTGCGGAAAATTCTAGACATATTTCATGTACAATGTCATATATTTATCTTCGACTGTTTCGGAAATATTGACAGTTAAAAATTGACGTTTTTGCAACTTTGACAGGCTGTGAAACCTAAACGGCTAATTTCATAGCGAAATCAATTTTACATTCTCATTTGTAGCTTTTCATAAACTATCATTTGACACCAATTATGCATTTAACCGGAGATTAATTTAACTGAACTTTTTAATCATAGATTAAATTCAAAGTTGGTGTCAAGTGATAGTTTATGAAATACTAAGATAAGAATTATATGATCGGTTTTGCTGTAAAATCAACCATTTAGATTTTACAGTCTATGTCAAAGTTGCGAAAAAGTCTAATTTTCAACTGTTAATAAATCCGAAACAGTTGAAAATAGGTACCATATGACATTGTACATAAAATATGTCTAAAATTTTCCGCAGAACCCAGAAATGTCATAATATACAGGGCGATCCATTTGAAAGAACAAAGTTTTTGATATTTCCCGAAAAACGAAAGATCTGACAACCATGTAAATACAACCATATTATCGGCCATATTACATTACTTTTTCAAACCAAAATTCATCAAAACCGTGCCAAGGTGGATCTTAGGGCCGGTATTTCAATATCACCTTAAAATCAAGACTTACCCAAGGTACCTTTAACGTTAAGGTGAACTTGAAATCAGTTCATTCAGGTGGCTTAAGATCCACCTTGAATTAAGGGAGCTTTGATATACGGTGAAACCTGTATTAAGGATAATAGTTGGGGAGCTGGCGTCAAAAACATGCAAGAGTTTTCGCAAGGCGGATATTTTCAAAATAGGTCGTACTTTAGTGTTAGAATGCTAGTGTACAGTCAGCACTCACAGTTCCGGGACAGCTGGCACTGGGACGCGGGCAAAGTTGTAATTTTAAGAAGCATCTAAACTGTTTTCTCAAAGCTCAAAATTTATAGAAATTTTGCACATTATCTGTTTGAAGGTCACAGATAACGTATGTAAATCGTCAGACGTCTAGTTTGTTGCAAAAAGGGGGTCAGACTTCCTCAAAGTTTTTATTTTATGGCATTTTCTTCGGTGTCCTGTCAAAATATATTTTTGCAGGTATTTGACAAATATATTTGAAGAAAATGCCATAAAATAAAAACTTTGAGGACGTCTGACCCCCTTTTTGCAACCAACTAGACGTCTGACGATTTACATACGTTATCTGTGACCTTCAAACAGATAATGTGCAAAATTTCTATAAATTTTGAGCTTTGAGAAAACAGTTTAGATGCTTCTTAAAATTACAACTTTGCCCGCGTCCCAGAGCCAGCTGTCCCGGAACTGTGAGTGCTGACTGTACACTAGCATTCTAGCACTAAAGTAGGACCTATTTTGAAAATATCCGCCTTGCGAAAACTCTTGCATGTTTTTGGCGCCACCTCCTGGACTATAACTTAACGTTATTCTGTACCTCAAGGTGACATTGAAATACCGACCCTTAAGCCCTATGAACTGGGGGCGGATTACGAACTCTCGATTCGAACCGAAACCGCCATGGATTTCGAACGCACTCCATGCGAATGCATCAGAATGAGTTCGAAATCCATGGCGGTTTCGGTTCGAGTCGAGAGTTCGTAATCCGTTCCCTGATTTCAAGTTCACCTTAAGGTACGGTTTGTTAGGAGAGTACGCGTCGCACAACTGACAACGTAAACGTCGTTATTGGTTCAGGTATGACCATAGGTATGACGTACATCCGTTTTCTCACGTCAGAAGACGGGTGTACGTCATACCTGAACCAATGACGACGTTTACCTTGTCAGTTGTGCGTCGCGCACTGCCCTAATAAACCATACCTTTAGGGTACCTTAGGTAAGTTTTGATTTCAATGATGACACAATGATGATGTGGCATTTGTTTTTCAATATAACATCAACTAAACTCAGAAAAAAAATAAAAACAATTTACATAATTTCGTTTCTTTTTTTTTCGGATAGTGGACTGCGATATTCAAAAAATCTCAGAAACGTCTCGAGGTACTAAGGTACTCTTCTGAACTGAATACAAAAAATCTACTGAACTCCTCACTCTAGCAGAATAGGGTGAACCCAAACTTTCGAAAAAAATTCGCCAACTTATGTTTCATCCTATATCTTTTAGCAGGTGGACGAAAATCTGTTAACAACTGGAAACTAAATAGCAATTAGAGCAGCCTCTCAGTCCTTAAAATTTGAACAAAAACACAAAAGCGGTCTCCTAGATTTTGACTTATAGCCTTACGAAAAGTGACCAAAAATTGGGGCGTTCGAGTTCGATTGATTCTTAGTTTATAATCAGATTTTCTTTTTCTTTTTTTTTCATAATCATAAAGCATTAAACTCTTCTTTAATTTCTTTCATGATATGAACAGCAGTGTATTTTCTAATTTTGGTTTGCGTCCTTCGTACCTTCCCATTTAAGTCTAGGTTTATCCTTTATTATTGAAATATTGACTCCGCCATCTTCTGATCTGATTTCCTGTCTTTATCGGTTTTGGTCCACCCAGAGTTTTTCGGCCATATCTCTTGCTCTGATCTCGCTATCAATTCCTTCGCTCAAGCTTCTTCTAGGTCTCACACTTTTTCGTCTTCCCTGCGGTGTCTTATTCAGTACAGTATTTACTCTCATTAGTTTTCAGTTTTCGTCTACTAAACGTGACCATACCCATACCACCGAGAAATTGTTGGCAAGTTCTAGGTAGCTAATTGTATAGTTTTCCTGCGCCGTTTTAAAAATTTTGCAGGGCTGTTGATTGTGATTGTGGCTGTTGGTATTCTGCTCTTCATTCAGCTTTGCTAAATCCTCATTCTATTTATCGAAGCAAATGGGTCAGATAACATCTTTTGTTTTTTCCGGGCAAAAGGATCTACGGACGTATGTGGTAATTCATATACGATTTACGATTTCTTTCCCAGTCTTTGTTCTTCTTTTGAGTTATCATCGTGCGTACTTTCCTTTGAAGAGTTTTTCATTCGTTTCTACCTTGATCTGTTTTTAGGTAAAAATATCTGTTGCATTTTCTTTTGCTTTTGCTATGACTTTACCTGTCTTTCATTTACCTCTACATTTGACCCTTTTTAAAGACCGGGTTGCCACCTTCGACCGTTACCTTGGTCAAGGGACCCGCACAGGGTACCCTCAGCCAGATCAGTAAAACCCTGTTTTTTTTGACAGGGTTGTTATTCCTCCGTCTCCTGCTTCCTCATCTTTTGAGTGATGAGGCCCCCTATCCTCTATTGTAAATCACTTTTGCCTAAGTGTTCGGTTTATTGATTTGAGCTACTTTAAAACCCTGTTGAAAATTAGTTAAACGACTTGACTTAGATAATTAAACTTAGCAAACGTTAAGTTGAACTGCATTGTTCTTTCAATTTCAATTCAACCAATAGTCCAAGAAACGGGGATCTGAATAGAGGGTTTACCTCAACATAATTAGAAGTTAATATTTTTTTGGGGGGATCGGTCCATTTTAATATGCTAAATAGCATATTAAGTTTGCGACTTTGTACTTCCATGGGGTTTTTAGTTAGGGGTGGTTCTTAGGGGTACTTTGCGGTTTATGGAGAACGCTGCTCAAAGGGATGGTCCAATAACAAAAAGTCTCAAATGATTATTGTAGCTGAAGTTTTTTGCTATATAAAACTCCCGGACAGCACTCCTTTATCTTCTACAGCGTCTTGAATAGTAGCATGTTTTTGTTCAAGGTCACTGAATCAAAGTTTCGTCTGTTTGAGCGCATTTGATGCAGCAGCGGCCGAATGCATAATCCGATTTCAATTTTTCAAACACCACATTATTGCTAATGAAATGCACTCTCCAATGCTTTTTGGTTCGAATTTTTTGCTTGAAAATTAAGCGAGTACGGACTTGCCTAATGTGCGAGGAAGTTGTAAATTGCATCGAAAACTACCCCTTTCTTGCATTCACTGTAATTTCTTAACGGGGCCAAATATTTGGTGACAGTTTTCGACAATCGGCAGCCCATTTTTTCCTCTCATAATGACCAACGGATTTTTTTTTTCGTTATATACTCAATGACTGTTGTTGCAGCAGTCACGTGAAGCAATTAAAGTTGCAGTATAATCATAAGAACAATAAATAAAGCCATCGTACCAAATTTCAGCGCTGTGCGACAATTTTAATTTTTTTTGACTTTTTGAAAAATTCCGCGCGACGTGTTCAGGCCAATAAGTCATTGAAAAAAAAAGTCAGCTGGGGCATTATGAGAGGAATAAATGGGCTGCCAATTGTCGAAAACTGTCACCAAATATTTGGCCCCGTTAAGAGATTACAGTGAATGCAAGAAAGGGGTAGTTTTCGATGCAATTTACAACTTCCTCACACATTAGTCAAGTCCTTGCTCGCTTAATTTTCAAGCAAAAATATTTCGAACAAAAAAGCATTGGAGAGTGCATTTCATTAACAATAATGTGGTGTTTGAAAAATTGAAATCGGATTATGCATTTAGCCGCTGCTGCATCAAATGCGCTGAAACAGGCGAAACGTTGATTCAGTGACCTTGAACAAAAACATGCTACTATTCAAGACGATGCAGAAAAAAAACTATAGAAGATAGAGGGGTACTGTCGCTGAGTCTTTTATAGCGAAAAACTTCAGCTACAACAATCATTTGATACTTTTTGCTATTGGACCATCCCTTTGAGCAGCGTTCTCCATAAGCCGCAAATTACCCCTAAAAACCACCCCTAACTAAAAACCCTATAGAAGTACAAGGTCGCAAACTTAATATGTTATTAAGCACATGAAAATGGACCGATCCCTCCCAAAAAATGTTAACTTCTAATTATATTGTTGTAAACTTCCTTCATTGCTTGGCCTACAAACTCAAGTTTAACTTTTTTTAAGTTAAGTTGTCTACGTCAGGTCGTTTAAGTTATTGTGAGCGGGATTTGAACCAAAATGTGTAACGTTAATATTTTCAAAATATAACTTTTTCAGATCGTTCTACTGAAATCCAAACTCCATGACGTCGAACTTTACATCCAACAAGGCCTTTCCAGAGTGAAATGGTCCTCTTTAAGCGTTTATGAATATGCGGAAGATTGCGAGGCCCAAATTATAGCTTTAAATACAGTTTACGAACACATAGAACATATTGAAAAAGACTTGTTCAGACGAGTCAAAATGCTTTTGAACGCAAACCTTTTTGAATTTGACCCAGTTAGCGTCGAGCCTACGAGACTTCCTTGCAAGCAGTTTTATAATGCCATGTATGAAAAACGAACCGAAAAAGTAGCAAGTTTATACAAAATTTACGAATCATTTGGCCCAATTTTGGTGAAACTAGAATATCTGGTATTGAATAGCAACACTGGAAATTGCCCTGAAATGTTTAGCTACTACTACTATTGGGAAGCAGAAATTTACAAAGCTCTTATTGGCATGACTATGAGAAATCTTGGTTTATTTGCCAAAAAATTTGAGGATAAAGTATTGCTATTTCAAGTTGACGCTTTAGTAATGACTCCGGAAATATTACTCAGACCCAATGCAGCCGAGGTTTACAATTTGACTTTACGTAATACTCACGATTTTATAGACAGGCTACGTCTGTTTCCTCGCTGGGCAAACGAAACTTGCATCATGTGCAAGCCAATTCCAGTTTCAAAAAAAGAAGATTTTTTGTTTAGTTTTTATGATGAAATTATAAATGCTGCTGACGTTAATGATGCTACACAAAGACTACAAGATGTTGTTCGAAAATCTATTCTGAATGTGCAAAAACATATACAAAAATTTAAACGTTACAAACTTTTGTGGACAGTTGAAAAACAATCTGCTTGTGAAAAATTTATGGCTGGCATGGTGACTTTGGAAAATTACGATGAAAAATTTATGTATTACAAAGATATAATTGAAACTATAAAATCTTATAAGGAATATATGGATATCGACAGTTTAAGATTACATCTAAAACCTTTGTTAGATACTATAGTGCAACATTGCCTTCAATGGAAAACGACTTTAGGAAGTTTATTAGATGCCGATACTGTAGTGAAAATGATGGAAATGAAACGAAAAATTGACGATCTTAAATCTAAGATAATACAGCACATTAAAGGCCTCGAAAAGTTTAAGACAGTTATGCAAGCCATAACAGCGATACGAAAATACAATATACAAGCTGAACTAGATTATTTACGATTTCAAGATATTTATGCAATGCTGAGGCAACATGAGTTTGAATTCGATCCTGCACATGAGGCTATGGCTTACCAACTGGAACAAGATTGGCAAGAGTTGTTAATATCCGGATTATATAGGGAACAAACACTAGAGTCTACCAAAGAACGTTTTGCTTTGCTTACGTTAGATGAAATTAACACATTTTTAGATGAACTAGCAGAGTTTTTGAAAAGATTCGAGCATGAAGGCCCCGGATCTGTCGGAGAAGACTTAGACAACGGCACGAAACTTATGGAAGAATACCGGATTGAATTTGACACTCTAGAAGCCCGTAGAATTGAGTTAGTCAATGCAGAAATGTTATTTGACATTCCTTTAGCTGATTATTCAGATTATTTACAAGCCAAACAAGATTTTGAGGGCATGGATGTGATTTATAAAGTTTATAAGGCCCAAAAACACGCGAGAGAATTATGGGGTAAGACTTTATGGGCTAATTTGAACCCACAAGCATTGCTTGATGGAATCGACGGGTTTTTAAAAGAGTTTAGAAAAATACCCAAAGAAATTCGCGCAATGGATGTAGGATTAACGTTGGAACTTAAAATGAAACAATTTAGAAATTCTATACCTTTAATGGTTGCTCTAAAGAACGAGGCTTTAAGAGACCGCCATTGGAAGAAACTAATGACTAAAACTGGTATAACATTTGATATGGCACCCGACAGATTTACGTTGGATAATATGTTTGCCATGGAACTTCATAGGTTTCAAGATATTGCTGAGGAAATTATTAATAATGCCATTAAGGAGTTGGCAATTGAGCGAGGTGTCATGGAAATTGCTGATACCTGGAAAACGGTGGCATTTATTGTGATTAAACATTTGAAAGGGACCGACGATAGAGGTTTTATTATTGGAGCCACTGATGAAATTATGCAAATATTAGAAGATAACTCTATGAATTTGCAAAGTATGGCGGGCTCTCAGTTCGTAGGACCGTTTTTGCCTCACGTACAAAAATGGGAGAAGACTCTGGCACATATTGGTGAAGTAATTGATGAATGGTTGGCAGTACAAAGAAAGTGGTTATATTTAGAAGGAATTTTTGTAGGGGGTGATATAAGAGCTCAACTACCAGACGAAGCCAAAAAATTTGACGAGATTGATAAATTTTTTAGGAAGATCATGATGGAAACTGCTAAAAGACCTATTGTATTAGAATGCTGCACCGTGCAAAGTCGCTTAGAAGAACTTCAGGATTTAAGCGTAGGTCTCGACAAATGTCAAAAATCTTTGAACGATTACCTTGACGCAAAAAGACGAAGATTTCCAAGATTCTATTTTATATCTACAGAAGAATTATTGTCAATTTTAGGAAGCAGCGAACATACAGTAGTCCAAGAACATATGATAAAAATGTTCGATAATATAAAATCTTTACGCTTCACCACTGACTCTAATGATAGAGTAATTGCCTCAGCAATGATTTCATCAGAAGGGGAAGTGATGGAGTTTAGAAACCCCGCAATGATTGAAGGAAAAGTCGAAGATTGGATGAATGAAGTTTTAAAAGAAATGAGACGGTCAAATAGATTTATAACAAAAAGCTCCATATATTATTACGGGAAAATCCGTAGACCTCGACCTAAATGGATGCTAGACTATCAAGGCATGGTATGTCTGATAGGAAGTCAAGTTTGGTGGACGGCTGAAGTGGAGGACGTATTTGCCAAAATTAAAAAAGGAAATAAAAGAGCCATGAAAGAGTACTTGCAGCAACTCAATAATCAATTAGATGAAATCGTGTTTACTGTCAGAGCTGATTTAACTACCAATGACCGTACAAAATTTCGTACTATAGCCATTGTCGAGGTGCACGCGAGGGATATTGTAGAAAACTTTGTACGAGACAGCGTAACAGATATATCCGAATTTGAATGGGAAAGTCAATTGAGATTTTATTGGGTTAATCATTTGGATAATTTATGGGTAACACAATGCACGGGCTCATTTGAATATGGTTATGAATATATGGGCCTGAATGGTAGATTAGTTATAACACCCTTGACTGATAGGATTTATTTAACTATAACTCAGGCTTTGATAATGCATATGGGAGGAGCTCCTGCAGGGCCCGCGGGTACAGGAAAAACTGAAACTGTTAAAGATTTAGCCAAAGCCCTAGCTTTATTGTGTATAGTAACTAATTGTGGAGAGGGCATGGATTATAAAGCTATCGGTACGACCCTTGCAGGCTTGTCACAATGTGGCGCCTGGGGATGTTTTGATGAGTTTAACAGAATCGATATATCAGTGTTGTCAGTGATATCAACTCAACTACAAACGATAAAAAGCGCTTTGATGATGAGGCTGGAACGTTTTACCTTCGAAGGTGTTGAAATTGCCTTGGATTCTAAAGTAGGCATTTTCATAACCATGAATCCTGGTTATGCTGGTCGTACTGAACTGCCTGAATCTGTTAAAGCCCTATTCAGACCTGTAGTATGTATTGTGCCGGATCTAGAAATGATTTGCATGATTTCATTATTTTCCGATGGATTTTTAGAGGCCAAAGTACTGGCTAAAAAAATGACTGTGCTATATAAACTCGCGAGAGAACAATTATCTAAGCAATTCCATTATGATTGGGGCTTGAGAGCTTTAAATGCTGTGCTTAGAATGGCTGGTGTGCTTAAAAGAGCTTCGCCAGATATTAAAGAAGCCTTAGTTTTAATGAGAGCCCTTCGTGACATGAATCATCCCAAATTTGTTTACGAAGACGTGCCTTTATTTCTGGGATTAATCAGAGACTTATTTCCGGGCATGGATTGTCCTAGAGTCGGCTATCCAGACCTCAATGCAGCAGTGGAAAAAGTTTTAGAAAAAGAACGCTACATAATTTTACCTTATCAAGAAGACAAAGTTGTTCAATTATATGAAACAATGATGACGAGGCATTCTACAATGCTTGTAGGCCCTACTGGCGGTGGCAAAACTGTTGTAATTAATGTACTGGCTAAAGCCCAAACTCTTTTGGGTTTACCAACGAAAATTTTTACATTGAACCCCAAGGCGTGCAGTGTAATAGAACTATATGGAATTCTCGATCCATTAACAAGAGACTGGACTGATGGTTTATTGTCGAATATATTCAGAGACATGAATAAACCTACAGAAATACCCGAAAGAAGATACATTTTATTTGATGGCGATGTAGATGCTTTATGGATAGAAAATATGAACTCAGTTATGGATGATAATAGATTATTAACTTTAGCTAACGGAGAACGAATTCGACTTAACACTCCAATATGTGCGTTATTATTTGAAGTTGGTGATCTGCAATTTGCCTCTCCTGCAACAGTTTCAAGAGCAGGCATGGTTTACGTAGATCCTAAAAACTTAGGCTATCAACCTTATTGGGATAGATGGGTGCAAAGTAGAAAACACTTGCCTGAACGTGAAGCATTTTCAGATTTTTACGAAAGAGTCGTTAGAGATTTGATGGCCTATGTCCTTGAAGGCACTCTAGGAAACAAACAAGTATCCCCTTTGAAAACAGTCATCCCACAAACTGGCTTAAATATGATTACTCAACTTTGTCACGTTATTGACGCTATTTATCCACAACCAATAGAAGATAATCGTGACCCTGAAGAAGAAGTAGAGATTGATTTAGTTAATGCAATATTTTTAACGTCGCTTTATAATTCTGTTGGAGCAGCTCTTATAGATTCTTGTAGATTAGAATTTGACGATTACATAAAATCCGCTATATCCATGTTAAATCACAACGACTCTATTGAAGATCCGTGTGACCTATTTCATTGGCCTACGCATCGTTCCACCATGTACGATTATTTTCTGAATATCAAAAATAAAGTTTGGATTGCCTGGGATTGGTTGGTGCCAGGATATATTCACGAAACCAATTTGAGATTTTCACAAATCTTGGTACCAACTGTTGATACCGTCAGAGTCACATATATATTACAATTAATGAATCAAATTAAACGTCCGATTGTTTTGGTTGGCGATACTGGAACATCTAAAACAGCCATTATTCAAGACTTTTTACGTCATTTAAATCCAGACGTATTTATTTTGTTGAATATTAATTTTTCATCAAGAACTTCTTCGATGGATGTTCAAATGAATTTAGAGTCCGCAGTAGAGAAACGTACTAAAGATATTTATGGGCCACCGATGGGCAAGAAGCTTATATGTTTTATCGATGATATGAACATGCCACAAGTTGATGAATATGGTACTCAGCAGCCGATAGCCTTGTTGAAGTTGTTATTTGAACGAGGAGGCATGTATGATAGAGGCAAAGATTTAAATTGGAAGTTTTTGAGAGATATTTCATATTTTGCCGCAATGGGAGTAGCTGGCGGTGGCAGAAATGAAGTCGATCCAAGATTTATATCAATGTTTACTGTGATGAATTTAGTTTTCCCTACAACTTCGACATTGCAACATATTTATTCGTCAATTTTATCTGGGCATTTAGAAATATTCGAGCCTGAAGTTCAAGTTGCTGACATATTACTCACAATGACTTTAAATTTATATAACGAGTTAATAATTCATCTACCACCGACGCCTAGCAAGTTCCATTACATTTTTAATATGCGTGATTTATCTCGGGTCACTGCAGGCTTATGTAAAATAACTCCAAAATTCTTTCAAACTTTACCGCAAATTGTGAGAGTTTGGAGAAATGAGTTTTCCAGAGTGTTTTGCGATCGTTTAATTAGTATCGAAGATCAAAAATATGTTAGACATGAACTGATTGAGCAAATAAGAAAATATTTTCCTAAGGCAAGTCAGAAGGTTGCTGAAGTCGCGGGACCACGGCCCGGCGATGACGATTTCGTATTTATACCCGACGAAGAAAAACCGAAACAACAAATTGAAGAGGTCGAAAAAAAAGAGGAAGAAGTTGATGTTTTAGAATATTCGATGCGCGATCCATTACTTTTTGGAGATTACCGGAATGCAATTAATGAAGGGGATCCTAGAGATTATGAAGATCTATTAGATTATGATGCGATTTACTTTTTATTTCAAGAAATTATTGAACTTTACAATGAACGAAAAGAAAAATTAAATATTGTACTCTTTAATGATGCCCTGGAGCATCTAACCAGAGTCCACAGGGGTTTGCGTTTGGAAAAAGGCCACGTGATGCTAGTTGGCGTGGGTGGGTGTGGAAAAGCTAGTTTGACGAGATTGGCAGCTTTCACCGCCGGTTGTGAAATGTTTTCTATAATACTTTGTAGAGGCTATAACGAGATTATGTTCAAAGACGACTTGAAAACCTTATATAATCAATTAGGCGTTGACAAGCAACCCACCGTATTCTTCTTTACCGCTGCCCAAATAGTTGAAGAAGGTTTTTTGGAATTTATTAACAATATTTTGATGATTGGGTATGTGCCTTCATTATTCACTGATGATGAAAAGGAACAAATTACAGGTCAATGTAGACCAGCTGCTGTAGAAGCAGGATATGGAATTAGCAAAGACAATGTTTGGCATTATTTCATAGACACATGTGTAGATAATTTACATGTAGTTTTATCAATGTCGCCTACAAGTGACGTATTAAGTAAGCGCTGTAGAAATTTTCCTGGATTAGTTAATAACACCACAATCGATTGGATATTTCCTTGGCCTTTGCAAGCCCTATTTGCTGTAGCCTCAGTGTTTTTGAAAGAAAACGTTCACATTCCTGAGCAATACAGAGACACGATTATTGAGCACGTAGTTCACGTCCACCAAACAGTTAATACATTCACTGCAAACTATCTAATAATGTTGAGAAGAAAAAATTACGTCACGCCAAAACATTATTTAGATTATATCACAACTTACTTAAGACTCCTAGAAGAAAAAGGCATCTACAACAAGGCCCAATGCGATCGTTTAAAAAGCGGTTTATCAAAAATTGAAGAAGCCAGTGGAGAATTAGCAATTTTAAACGCTAGACTGGAAAAACAAAAAATTGTTGTTGGTAAAGCAACAGCCGAATGTGAAGCTATGTTGGCTGAAATTGAAGAAGGCACCAACAAAGCTACAGAGAAAAAAGATATCGCTTCATTGAAAAGTCAAGAAATTGAAGAACAAGCTAGGATCATTAGTATAGAGCAAGCTGATGCTGAAGAAGCTTTATCAGCCGCATTGCCAGCTCTAGAAACTGCTCGGCTAGCTTTGTCCGACTTAGACAAAAATGATATTACTGAAATTCGTTCTTTTGCCACACCACCAGAAGCTGTGCAAGTTGTTTGCGAATGCATAACGATTCTCAGAGGGTATAAAGAAGTTTCTTGGAAGTCTGCGAAAGGCATGATGGCTGAGGGTAATTTCTTACGATCATTACAAGAAATGAATTGTGATGCCATTACATTAGCTCAGCAACGCGCTTGTAAGGCTCACATGAAAAAATCCTCAAAACTGGATGAAATGGCTTCTGTAAGCAAAGCTGGTTTTGGCCTATTAAAATTCGTTCAAGCTGTATTAGGATATTGTGCTGTATACAGAGAAGTAAAACCAAAGAAAGATCGAGTAGAGCAACTCGAGGCTGAATATAGTGCAGCCAAACGTAATTTAGAAAAACTGTATAACGAAATTGCCAAGTTAGAAGCTGATTTGGATAAATTAAATCAAAAGTATGCTGTTGCAATGAAGCGAAGGCAAGAATTGCAAGAGGAAACTGATATAATGATGAGACGGCTCGAGGCTGCTGATAAGCTTATTTCAGGTTTAAGCTCCGAAAAAATTCGCTGGACCGAAGAGCTCAACAATTTGAACATAGAAAGAGAACGTTTAGTTGGTAATTGTTTGTTATGCTCGGGATTTTTAGCTTATTGCGGTCCATTTACGTACGAATTTAGACGAGATATGGTTTATGTTAATTGGCAAGATAATATTTTGGAAAGGCAAATACCTCTAACAGTACCATTCAGGTTAGAAAGAAATTTGACCACTGATGTGGAAATAAGTCAATGGGTCTCAGAATCGCTACCTCCTGACGAACTGTCAATTCAGAATGGAATTTTAGCTATTAGAGGATCAAGATTTCCTTTGTGCATTGATCCACAACAGCAAGCATTGAATTGGATTAAAAAACGCGAAGAGAAAAATAATATGAAACTTCTTAGCTTCAACGACACTGATTTCTTGAAGCATTTGGATATGTCTATAAAATATGGAGCTCCAGTCTTATTTCAAGATTCCGACGATTATATCGATCCGGTAGTAGAGGATGTAATACAAAAAAATTTGAAATCCATTGGTGGTCGCGTATTTGTGATTCTAGGGGATAAGGAAGTCGATTGGGACCCAAATTTCAGGCTTTACATGACCACCAAATTTGCTAATCCAATTTTCAATCCTTCTGTCTATGCTAGCGCAGTCGTTATCAATTATACTGTAACATTAACAGGCTTGGAAGATCAACTTTTGAGTGTTGTAGTCAGAAATGAAAGGCCAGACTTGGAAGAGCAACGAGAAATGCTCATAGCAGAAACAAGCGAAAATAAAAATTTATTGCAAGTATTAGAAGATTCTTTGTTAAGAGAATTATCTACTACAACAGGAAATATGCTTGATAATGTTGAATTAGTGACTACATTGGAGAATACGAAAAGCAAAGCTAATGAAGTTATGGAAAAATTAGAGCTTGCAGCACAGACTTCCAAAGACATTGACAAACTTCGTGACGTGTATAGGCCAGTAGCCAAAAGAGGTGCCATATTATTTTTCGTTCTTTCCGACATGGCAGGTGTTAATGCTATGTACCAATACTCTTTGGCATCGTATCTAGAAGTATTCTCGTTTTCTCTAAGAAAAGCTTTGCCGCACACCATATTGGATAGACGTTTGCAAAATATCATCAACACGTTGACGAAGAATGTGTATGATTATGGTTGCACTGGAATATTTGAGAAACATAAGCTTCTGTATTCGTTTCAAATGACTGTTAAACTAGAACAGCATGCCGGCGGTCTTTCCCAAGCTGAATTGGACTTCTTTATTAAGGTAAGAATTGATTTACTAAGTACCATCGTCCCAAAAGTAACTGGGACAGCATCACATTAGCTCTTGTCCTATTATATAAATTTTATTTTCAAATATTTGTCAAACTATGAATTAAATGCATTGAAATGAATGACAGTACAATTAGTCCAGGAGATTATTATGCATTATGTGTGTCCCAGATACTTTTGGTGACGATTGTACATACATCGTGTGGGGAATTTCAAATTTTGGAAGAGTTCGTGATTTCCGCTTTCTTGGTCTTACTTATTTCATATTCGCAATAAATGGTTTCTTTTGAAGTTTATTTGTCCCCCAACTATTTTTGGCAAGCGACAACGGGTTTTCAACTAACTTTGACTTCCATTATAGGTTTTTTTGGTTTTATAACATAAGAGGTGTTAGAGGATGGAGGTAGGTATACTCCAGAAACACCCAAATACTTTTGGTTTTATATTATCACATTTAAATCGTTTCGATTCCCTCTTTCGGTGAGCGTTGATTGTAAAATAGTATATTCTTCAACAAGCATAATAATGGCTATTATTCACGAGAATGTAAAAAATCATGGAAATTAATGGAATGAAATCATTCGAGTGAATTAAGGCCGAAACCCACTAGCAACACGCCACGCCACCTCACGCCATGCACAGAAAAAAAGAATAGTTTAATCAATTTTTTTTACGTTCCAGTAAGTAAATATATGTTTAATATATTCGGACTACACGTGGATTTGAATATACTTCATAATTTACTTGTAGTTTAAAATACAAATTTATTGAAAAGATCACATAAATAGTTAATCATTATTTCAAAATTGGGGAACTAAAACTCGACGTTGTTAAAGCACTTTCCTAGTGTCTTGACTCAATCATGTGAATAATGTTGTTCAATAATATAGAAACTTGGTATAAGTATACTATGTTCAAGATAAGTTATTGACATTGCTGAACAACTAAACAATAGGAATGTTCACTATTTTTCAATTGTGATAAAAAGTGGTAGTTATAGGTCCACAAAACACGTATTGAACGTTAAAACATCTAAAAACCCTTCATTTTTGCTGATAGATCGAAAACAAAAAAACGAAATTAGCGAGGCTAGCAAAACGACCCCCTGCGGCGAGAGTAGCGTTTGTGATGTCACTATGCGGAAAGAATTTGCCTACAATGTATTTGTCTCTCTTCCGCTCATTGCAAAAAGTATTTGGACAATTAATAGAGTTCACTACTCAGGGTGCTTCCTGAGATTCATTCACCAATTGGTTCATCAGTATCTTTATCTAAATGCATATAAAAGGGAAAGACACTAATAGTAATAATATTATCAATATTAGAGAGTTATTGGACGTGCAATAAGGACAAGCAGTATTCAAATTAGCCTTATTTTGACATCTACGCGCCAAAAAATGGGTATCAGCAGAAAATCACAAACAAAAATAAAACACTTTTTGAGGCTGAAATTTATAAACATAACTATCAGCTGTCAAAATTATGAATACAAAATAAGGTAATACTCTAGCACCTACTAGACTCTTCCAATAACTGTTTTTTCTTGGAAAAATAGTGCTGATGCACTAATGAAATAACGTAGATCCTTAATACTGCGTGGCAGTATTTAATAGTTCCAATAACTCTCTAATCTTTATTGCCAACAAAAATCGTAAAAGCAACGTCACAAAAGGCTGACCCAAGTAGAAAGTAGCGCCACTGTACTTGCGCGCGCTAACTCGTTGCGCATTGTGACGTCTGAGAGAGTTTCGTGCGTTTAAACGAATATTAATATTTCGTCAGAAGAAATTTTCTGATTTTCGTAAAATTTTGTAGATTTACTTATGAAAGGATGCTTAATCATTTGATGATTGTTAAACGGGATTTTTTTATTTTGTGAACATTCGTATTATAATTAGATCAAATGAGTAAATACTTAACTGAATTATGTGATCAATATGAAAGTAGTTCTTGCATTATTAAGTGTACCTCGGGCACTTTTGTTGTAACTAAACTGGTCAACATTAAGTTCGGTCCATCCAATTTTGTGCCCTATTTTTAAACAGCTGCAACTTTTTTAAAAATAAATATTTTTGAACGCGGTTTGCGGCTTTCAAAAGCGCGTTTCTCCTAGATTAGGCTACATGTCACACATTTTTGGTTGGAAGAGTTATTATCATGATATACGGGGTGATAAACAATGTCATGCAAAAAAGCAAAAATTTCGTGTGTGACACTTTGGCAAAAAAATTTTTTAGTTGCTACAATATGGTTCGTTACTAAGGTAACATCAATATCTCTAGACGTTTTTGTCACTTTTTGGATTTAGGCCCTTTGGCCTTAGATACACTACTAAACATAAAATTTTGGTTATGCAATCTTTGCAATGCTATAATTCGAAAACGAAATAACGGATTTTCACGAGCGCTTCAAATTCATGTAGATTTTCTATGACTTAAGAAAATTTACGTAAGGTTTCAGTTTCAACATCATACCAGGCCAACAATAGACAAATAGGTATCCAACACGGAAACCTTAAATACTGGGTAAATCATTGGACATAAAAAAAACACTATAAATGCGCAAAAAAAAATCAACTATAGAAATTTTTATTAAAAATTTTCACAAATACGAGATTGTCGTCCACCAGGACAAAATCGTCTCCAAAGTTTTGTTGAAAGGAATAATAATATCACTGATACAGTCTCGATACCTTTTCGCATTCATCGATTCCCTCAGTTAAACAACCAAATCCGGTCTCCCATTCATCATAACGCCACCCTTAACAACCACACCGGCACCTACAAACAGTTCCCTTGCATCCACGTTTCCTTCCAGATATCGTTCATTTCTCCCTCTCCATACTAAAACTCGTCCATCACTTCCACATAAATTAAACCTTCATTCATCTGCGAACATGCACCTACTCCATTCTGCTATTAGCCGTATTCTGCCGTAAGTCCACGCTCGTGAAGTCTACACAACATTTCTCAATTTATTTTGGCCAAGTTTAACCATTTGGTGAAATGAAATTTATTGTCCGTCGTTTTTAATCTGACATCCGAGGATGAGGAGCGAGGGGGTGAAGCATATGACAAAAATAGGTGTGACGTCTGGTGATTTTTGGCATTCTAATGTAGGGAGCCACCAGCTTACATTCCTTTGGAGTATCAGATTAATATCGACGGACTGTAACTGATACAAGATAAAATTTGCAAAATGCCATGCCATAGAGTTTCATGCTAAATAGGGTTCCATGACAACATTGGTCTATCGTTGTTATGGAAACCTATTGCTATAAAGGATTACATACACCACCGGCGAGATTTTTCATATTGTTTGCGATTTTATTTTATTGTATCCTGGTATAATCTTAAAACTGAAACCTTACGTAAATTTCTTAGGTCATAGAAAATCTACATGAAATAGGCTTTCCGAATTTGAAGCGCTCGTGAAAATCCGTTATTTCGTATTCGAATTATAGCAATTTGAAGATTGCATTACCAAAATTTGATGTTTAGTTGTGTATCTGAGGACAAAGGGCCTAAATCCAAAAAGTGACAAAAACGTCTAGAGATATTGATGTAACCTTAGTAACGAACCATATTATAGCAACTAAAAAAATTTGTTGCCAAAGTGTCACACACACGAAATTTTTGCTTTTTTGCATGACATTGCTTATCACCCCGTATATCATGAAAATAGCTTTCCCAACAAAAATGTGTGACATGCAGCCTAATCTAGAAGAGACGCGCTTTTGAATGCCGCAAACCGCGTTCAAAAATATTTATTTTTAAAAAAGTTGCAGCTGTTTAAAAATAGGGCAAAAAATTGAATGGACCGAACTTTATGTTGACCAGTTTACTCAAAAAAATTGTAGCAAGTAAATAAATAGCTCATATAAATAATCAATGACTTGCCATAAGTATTTGATAGAGTGTGTTTTATATAAAAGGTAATAGAACAGGGAATTTATAAACTTGAAAAAAAAAACGAGTTGAAGTTGACAATTTTTTTTTTTAATGTCCATTATTTTTAAAATTATGGGCATCAAAAAATACGACTTTGTTCTAATTCAACGTTACCCGTTTTTTTTAAATTTATGTTTATGAGATCCGTGTGCGATGTGCTTACATAATACACAATGATTTTTTTAACGCATACGTACATATCATTATGTGGCATATCTATTTTGCTTATAAATTTCCTGAATAAACAAATATTATTAAAATATTGGAAACTGTGGTTTCTTACAGAATATTCACCATACGAGTAACCTATGAAAACCCATCACACTTGTAGGATTTTAAAGGCTTTCTTCTCCCAAATAAAACTCTGTTTTGTAGAAAAAAGTTAGGTATATTAAAAAGATATAAGAATATTTATTTCCTGATAAGTTAATAAGGAACAAAATAATGGGCAAATCCGAATCTTGTTGTGTCCATAATTGGGGATCTAATATAGAAGTCACAGTCGTAGTTTCTTTATCAGACTCTAGAGTAACAGCCACTGTCTGATTGTCTTTTTCTTCAACTTGTATTTTACTTTGAGGTTCGTAATTTTCCTCTGATGTCCATTCTGTTTCAAGCGAGATTTCGTGCTAGAAAAAAAAATAACATGCATGCCAAGCCATTTTTCACAATTTTTTTCCTGTTGAGTTGAAAATAAAATCGGGAAAGGGATTTTTGAGCTGAAAAAAACTATTTTTCAATCTTTGACACCCTGTATCTCGAAAACTAAGCATTCGCGGGCCTATGTTTCCATTAACTTTTTTTTATATTTTAATGAGGGCTATTTATCCTAGAATTTTGATCCCACTATTCAGAAACACCTTAGAATTAGTATAGTAAGATACCCGTTCCCAAGTTTAGGCATTTCTGAAAATATTT